ACTGCGGGGGTTTCCAGTATCCTGGAAAAACTCTGCTGCGTCCAGGGAACATGTTTACTTTTCCGCTTCTTTTTGCGGAAGTGCAAACGTGCTCTTTTGGAAGCCCTGTCTTCCATGAGGAAGAAGGGATCTTCTGAAAGAGGGGGATTCTCTGAAATTTGGCCCAGTGTAGATGGGCCAAATTTCAAAAAAGCCTCTTAAAAAAAATCAGAAAAAGCTGTAGTGTAGACCTAGCCTAAGTAAGTAGCTCCTTAAACATCATCTTCTGAAGTGAGAACTGATTTTTGGTTCTACGCTAGTCTACCTTACTCAATACTGCTTAGCAGGAGACTGGTAAGAGGGGAAAACAGGGACAGTTCCAGGCTTCCAGACCCAGAACAACCAACCTACCCACTTCTTGCCTTGTGCTAACAAATTCGAGGAGCACTTGCAGCCACATACTTGCCTTGGAGATGGCTAATCCTGAAAGTTAAAAACCCCTCAGTAATAGCCTCTTAAGGGCTAACATATTGAAAACTGAAGTTTACAATGCCTACAGGCAGGGGCAGATGACCATTTCGCGGGGTCCAGGGCAGCATAATTTCGCGGGGCCCCCCTTTGCCACGGCGCATGCATAGGGCTTCTTGAAGCACGGAGCCTGGGGCGGCTGCCCCGCTTGCCCTGCCCTATATCCGTCCCTGCCTACGGGACTTCACTCTGCATTCAATACATGTGTTCATGCCATGTTTGAATATTAATAATGTTTTTAAACTTCTCTGGGCAAAACTTAAGTTCTACCTGTAACTAACAAACAAACAAGCAAAGAAAACAACCAAGCATCATTGGTCAAAGGTATGAGAAGCACTCTGAACTGCTGGTAATATGGGGCACCAATGAATCCATCCACTGAAGCTGTGTCTGGGCTGTTTATAAGCACAATCAGCCTCAAGACCAGCTGAGTTGCAGCTGCTTTTGCGGAAAAACGTGCCAACTGTCTACACTGGCCGCTTGAATTTCCGCAAGAACACTGACGATCTCATGTAACATTGTCAGTGTTCTTGCGGAAATGCTATGCTGCTCCATTCGGGCAAAAGCCCTCTTGCGCAAATGCTTTTGCGCAAGAGGGCCAGTGTAGACAACGCAGTATTGTTTTGCGCAAAAAAGCCCCGATCGCGAAAATGGCTTTTTTGTGCAAAAGCGCGTCTTGATTGGCACCAACGCTTTTCTGCAAAAAGTGCTTTTGCGGAAAAGTGTCCATGCCAATCTACATGCTCTTTTCCGCAAATGCTTTTAACGGAAAAAGTTTTCCGTTAAAAGCATTTGCGGAAAATCATGCCAGTCTAGACGTAGCCCTGGAGTTTAGGTTCTTCAGCTTTCAAGAGACAGATTCTCTATCAGCAATGGCAATACAGTTATTTAGAAATGTTATATTTCCAGAACCAGCACCCCCTCGAACACCCTGACACACCTCCAAACCTCCCCCCAGAGCTAACACCCTCCTGGACTCCAAGCCCTAGCTCTGAACCCGCTCTCAGAATTAGCACCCCAAAACCCCACCTCAACCCTTAGCCCTCCCTCAGAGCCAGCACTTCATACCTAGAATTTTTGTTCAGTGTCCACCTCAATAGTACCCAAAAGCCAAGTATCCTGAGGAGTGGCAATCTCTCTTCCCCCTTTAAAAATAGCCTCTTTTGTTTTATTTCAATGTAATAAGTGTGTCCCTCACCCTTGCACCCCATTCACCTCCATGCAGTGCAGCACTCCCATTATGTCTGTGTACAGTGCAGCACTCCCTGTGCCCCCCATCCTCATTCATTTTTACAATTCAGTCACCTCCTGCATCCCCATCCACTTCACATACCCATCCTATTCCCTCTTCTCTTCTTCTCTTCCCCCTCTCACTCCCATCTTGGTCATGTCCTTGGGTTCTTTCACTTTCCATCCTCTCCTCCCTCTCCCTATCTTTTCTCCTCCAGTCCAGCGGGGTGGTTTATGCAACCCCTGGTTGTCCCACAATGGCAAAAGATTCCCTTATTCCTGATTTTAAGAGGAATAAGGGACCTTTTGGAAAAGGCTTTATTTTCCGAAAGATCCCCGTCTAGATGGTGCTTTTTTCTGGCAAGGCCCCGAGCCGGAAAAAAGTGGCAGCCATGTTTATACAAATGAAGCGGGGAAAATTTAAATCCCCGCTGCATTTGCAATTCCAACTTGTCTCATCTGCATCCCTTTTCCGGCCAATATGTTTGTTCCTCTAAAATAATAATACTGTCGCCCAGTAGAGACTTATGATTGAAGGAAAGAGAACTTTAATAATAGCTTTAAGCAGACTATGGAACTCAGTTCCAAATGAAATAAGAATGACTGAAAACCTCACTATGTTCAAAACTAAATACAACACATATCTCTTTGATTTAGCTAGCATTCCTTAAATTTCCTTAAATAGTGTTCCTTCTCTCTCTCTCACACACACACCATAAACCAAGCAACAATCTATATGTTAATATTTTCCTATGGAAAAAATAAAAAAAGGAAATTTTGTAGTGTTAATATGAGCTATGTTATGGGCTTTTGCTGGCACAGCTATGTCAGGCAGAGATGACATCTCATCACACCCCTGACATAGTCAGGCTGCCAAAAGCTGGCCGTGCAGACCTGACTCAAGTGTTATAGTTGCAAAATATGTGAGTTTTCAGAAGGCCAGGAATACGTCTGAGACTGCGATCAGCCCCATTCATCTTAGTGAGGTGTTAACTCAGAGTCCCATATTGGTAATTTGAATGTGAACATTTTAACTGCTTCATTCCTCATGACAGGCCTTATCTGTCCAGTGACACCTCTTGAATAATATTGATTTATTTAAAACAGTAGGGTCATCTTAGGGCAGACACATTATAGTCCCTTGGCTATATCGACATTATACTTACTCGAAGGCAAACGTTCTCTCATTACACCATGACCCCTTCTGACAATAAATAATGCTACGTGATGCCAGGGCGGGGGCAAACCAAAGCCTGAGCCCCACAGCCCTGGGCAGTGGGTGGAGGAGGCAAAGCCGGAGGCCCACTGTCCTGGGAGGAGGGGAAAAGCCCAAGCACTTCAGCCTCGGGTGATTGTTCCCAGGGATGGCTTTTGGTGCACATGGCAGCATAGGGCGTGTGCATCTCCAGGTGGATCACATGGAAGAGCCACACTTGCTCAACAGAGAACAGTGGGTCCAGCTTGCAACCTGAGCCTTACCAGGGACAGCTGCAGCCCTGGGACCTGTGGCTCAGTCTTTAGCCCCAGCAAGTCTAACGCCAGCCCAAGCAGCCAGGCTGTGTCTACACTGGGCCACTTATTCCGGAAAATCAGCCACTTTTCCGGAATAAGCTGCGAGCTGTCTACACTGGCCCTTGAATTTCCGGAAAAGCAACGACCCTCTACTGTACAAAATCAGCCGCTATTCCGGAAAAACTATTCTGCTCCCACTCGGGCATAAGTCCTTATGCTATTCCGGAAAAACTATTCTGCTCCCACTCGGGCATAAGTCCTTATTCCGGAACACTGTTCCGGAAAAGGGCCAGTGTAGACAGCCCAGTAGTCTTTTCCAGAAAAGCATGTCTACATTGGCGACAGACGCTTTTCCGGAAAAAAAGCTTTTCCGGAAAAGCAGCCTGCCAATGTAGACGCTCCTTTTCTGGAAAAACTGAAAACGGAATAGTATTCCGTTTTAAGCAGTTCCGGAAATTCATGCCAGTGTAGACACAGCCCCAGTGTTCCCTGTAAACCATGTGCCCGTGCGACTGCTCAGGAGACATTCAAATGCTGATTTGCAGCGTGGGCGTGCACAGCTGGGTGTTGTTTCTGGTGGTGGTGCACATTGGCACATGCCTTAGTGCACAGACACATTTTATTCCACACACGATGGAAAAAAATCCGCACGTGGACGCACTGGAGGGCGCGTTGGTGGCCACCCACTTTGGGGTCCCCAAGCACTGGGAGGAGCAGGGCTCCCCGGCGACGTCACACCGTGGGGTGAAGGGGTCTGGGTGAAGGGCCTGTTTAATTGCAGCACAGACATGGGGGGGGGGGGGGGGGCTCGCC